TGTAAGACCGTAGTGTGTCTAGTAAGACTGTAGTGTGTCTTGCAAAACTGTAGTTTGCTTGTAAGACTGTAGTGTGTCTTGTAAGACTGAAGTGTGTCTTGTAAGACTGTAATATGTCTTGTAAGACTGTAGTGTGTCTTGTAAGTCTGAAGTGTGCCTTGTAAGACTGTAGTGTGTCTTGTAAGACTGTAGTGTGTCTTGTAAGACCGTAGTGTGTCTTGTAAGACAGTAGTGTGTCTATTAAAACTGTAGTGTGTCTTGTAAGGCTCTAGTGTGTCTTGTAAGACTGTAGTGTGTCTTGTAAGACTGTAGTGTGTCTTGTAAGACTGTAGTGTGTCTTGTAAGACTGTAGTGTGTCTTGCAAGACTGTAGTGTGTCTAGCAAGACTGTAGTGTGTCTTGTAAGACTGTAGTGTGTCTCGTAAGTCTGTAGTGTGTCCTGTAAGACTGAGACTGTAGTGTGTCTTGTGAGACTGCAGTGAGCCTTGTAAGACTGTAGTGTGTCTTGTAAGACTGTAGTGTGTCTTGTAACACTATAGTGTGTCTTGTAAGACTAGAGTGTGTCTTGTAAGACTGTAGTGTGTCTTGTAAGACTACAGTGTGTCTTGTAAGACTACAGTGTATCTTGTAAGACTGTAGTGTGTCTTGTAAGACTGTAGTGTGTCTTGTAAGACTGTAGTGTGTCTTGTAAGACGCTAGTGTGTCTTGTAAGACTGTAGTGTGTCTTGTAAGACTGTAGTGTGTCTTGTAAGACTGTGATGTGTCTCGTAAGTCTGTAGTGTGTCTTGTAAGACTGAGACTGTAGTGTGTCTTGTGAGACTGCAGTGAGCCTTGTAAGACTGTAGTGTGTCTTGTAAGACTGTAGTGTGTCTTTTAAGACTATAGTGTGTCTTGTAAGACTGTATTGTGTATTGTAAGACAGTAGTGTGCCTTGTAAGACTGTAGTGTGTCTTGTAAGACTATAGTGTGTCTTGTAGTGTGTCTTGCAAGACTGTAGTTTGTCTTGTAAGACTGTAGTGTGTCTTGTAAGACTGAAGTGTGTCTTGTAAGACTGTAATATGTCTTGTAAGACTGTAGTGTGTCTTGTAAGTCTGAAGTGTTGCCTTGTAAAGACTGTAGTGTGTCGTGTAAGACTGTAGTGTGTCTTGTAGACAGTAGTGTGTCTTGTAAGACAGTAGTGTGTCTATTAAGACTGTAGTTGTGTCTTGTAAGGCTGTAGTGTGTCTTGTAAGACTGTAGTGTGTCTTGTAAGACTGTAGTGTGTCTTGTAAGACTGTAGTGTGTCTTATAAGACTGAAGTGTGTCTTGTAAGACTGTTGTGTGTCTATTAAGACTGTAGGGTGTCTTGTAAGACTGTAGTGTGTCTTGCAAGACTGTAGTCTGTCTTGTAAGACTGTAGAGTGTCTTGTAAGACTGTAGTGTGTCTTGTAAGACTGTAGTGTGTCTTGTAAGACTGAAGTGTGTCTTGTAAGACTGTAGTATGTCTTGTGAGACTGTAGTGTGTCTAGTAAGACTGCAGTGTGTCTTGTAAGACTGTAGTGTGTCTAGTAAGACTGTAGTGTGTCTTGTAAGACTGTAGTTTGTCTTGTAAGACTGTAGTGTGTCTTGTAAGACTGAAGTGTGTCTTGTAAGACTGTAGTATGTCTTGTAAGACTGTAGTGTGTCTTGTAAGACTGAAGTGTGTTTTGTAAGACTGTAGTGTGTCTTGTAAGACTGTAGTGTGTCTTGTAAGACTGTAGTGTGTCTTGTAAGACAGTAGTGTGTCTATTAAGACTGTAGTGTGTCTTGTAAGGCTCTAGTGTGTCTTGTAAGACTGTAGTGTCTTGTAAGACTGTAGTGTGTCTTGTAAGACTGTAGTGTGTCTTGCAAGACTGTAGTGTGTCTTGTAAGACTGTAGTGTGTCTCATAAGACTGTAGTGTGTCTTGTAAGACTGAGACTGTAGTGTGTCTTGTAAGACTGCAGTGAGCCTTGTAAGACTGTAGTGTGTCTTGTAAGACTGTAGTGTGTCTTGTAAGACTATAGTGTGTCTTGTAAGACTATAGTGTGTCTTGTAAGACTACAGTGTGTCTTGTAAGACTACAGTGTGTCTTGTAAGACTACAGTGTGCCTTGAAAGACTGTAGTGTCTCTTGTAAGACTGTAGTGTGTCTTGTAAGACTGTAGTGTGTCTTGTAAGACTGTAGTGTGTCTTTTAAGACTGTAATGTGTCTTGTAAGACTGTAGTGTGTCTTGTAATTCTGTACTGTGTCTTGTAAGACTGTAGTGTGTCTTGTAAGACTTTAATGTGTCTCGTAAGACTGTAGTGTGTCTTGTAAGACTGTAGTGTGTCTTGTAAGACTGTAGTGTGTCTTGTAAGACTGCAGTGTGTTTTGTAAGACGCTAGTGTGTCTTGTAAGACTGTAGTGTGTCTTGTAAGACTGTAGTATGTCTTGTAAGACGTTAGTGTGTCTTGTAAGACAGAAGTGTGCCTTGTAAGACTACAGTGTGTCTTGTAAGACTGTAGTGTGTCTTGTAGACTTAGTTGTTTTTAAGACTGTAGTTGTCTTGTAAGACTGTAGTTTTTTTGTAAGACTTAGTGGTCTTGAAAGACGTTGTGTTTGTAAGCCCAAAGTGGTTTGTAAGACTGTAAGTGTCTGTAAGACTGTTAATTTTTTAAGACTGAGTGGTCTGAAGCTGTGTTTTTTTGTAAGACTGTAGTGGCTTGTAAGATTTAGTGTGTCTTGAAAGACTGTTGGTGTGTCTTGTAAGACAGGGTGTCTTGTAAATGAGTGTGTTTTGTAAGCAATGTGCTTCAAGACTGTAGTGTGTTTTGTAAGATGAAATGTTTTGTAAGACACGGTTGCTTAACTAAGTGTCCCTTTGAAAACTTAGTGTGTCTTGAAAGACTGTATTTGTGTCTTGAAGACGAGTGTGTTTGAAAACGTAGTGGTCTTGTAAGTTAGTTGTCTTGTAAACTTATGTGTCTTGTAAGATGAGTGTGCTTGAAAGGGCTTTAGGTGTCTTGTAAATAAGTGTGTCTTGTAAGATTTTTTAATGTTTTCTTGTAAGATTTAGGTGTTTGTAAGATGAGGTGTTTTGTAAAACTGTGGAGTCTTTTAAGACGTGGTGTCTTGTAAGACTGTAGTGTGTCTAGCAGATGTAGTATGTTTTGAAAGACTGTAGTGGTCTTGTAAGACTGGAGTGTGTTTGTAAGATTAGTGGTTTGAAAGACGTAGTGTGCTTGTAAGATACAGTGTGTCTTCAACTACAGTGTGCTTGAAAGACTGAGTGCGTCTTGTAAGACGATATTTTTGAAAAGGGGGTTTTTTGTAAGACTTAGTGGTCTGTAAGACTGTGTGTGTTTTGAAGATTAGTGTGTCTTGAAAGACTAAAAGTTTTCTTTTTTAAAGACTACATGTGTCTTGAAGACGTAGTGTGTCTTGAAAGACTGTGTGTTCTTGTAAGACTGTATTTGTTTGTAAGACTGTAGTGTGTCTTGAAAACTACAGTGTGTCTTTTTAAGATACAGTGTGTCTTGAAACGTAGTGTGTCTTGAAAAACTGTAGGGGGTTCTTGTAAGACGTTTTTTTTCTTTAAGATACGGTGCCCTTGAAAGACTGTAGTGTGTCTTGTAAACAGACTGTCTCTTGTAAAACTTATTTGGTCTTGTAAGCTGTAGTGTGTCTTGTAAGATGTAGTGTGCTTGTAAAATTAGTGTGCCTTGTAAGACTGTGTGTGTCTTGCAAGACTGTAGTGTGTCTTTGTAACCGCAGTTTTCTTGAAAATGTGTGTGTCTTGAAGACGTAGTGTGTCTTGAAAGTCTAAAGCGATTCTTAAATGGTGTGTTTAAAAGACTCGTGTGTCTACCCATGCCCAGCACATTTCATAACCTAAAAATTTCCCCCTTTTCCCTCCTACACCCATTACCCCTGATCCTTTCCCCTGCCCTCTGGCTGTAAAACCCCTGGGGTTTGCAGTTTTTTCTGTTATAAAATATGAAAGGATTTAGGGAAATCAGTTAGCAAAATTGGTCCTGGAGATGGGAAATACTCCTTCTCTGTAGAAGTGGAGATGCTGTGTTTTGGAGGTCAAACTGAACTATGATATCAAATATTTGGCAAAAAAGCAACGAGTAAATGCATGTGAATGTGTTGCTATTTTTATAGGGGCACCTACCCTGGGGTGACAGCCCAATTTGAGGAAAAAAAAATAGTAAAATTTCAAATTTATCATGACTCGAATTCACATTTTTTATGTTCTAGAATAAACACAAAAATATACATTAAAAATTTTTATTTTAAAGAAAACGTAAAATCACTTGCCTATAGGGAAAAAAGTACAATGATACACAACAGAACCATTTCCACGGGGAAAGACAAAGCTGCCTACACCTCTCTTCCGCAAGGCCTTGTATGTTTAGTCTTCCTACCCTTATTCACGGTTTCTTCTTTAAAAACTGACAGTATTACAAAAAAAAATTCTTGGTGCACAAAAATTCTGAGTGGCAGTCTTGTACATTTTGACTTTTCATTAATAATTCTCTATTAAGTAAATTTGCTATAACATGACAATAACAAAAATTTCAGAATATTAACTGGGCATAATACTGAAATGCAATACAATTCAATTTTTAAAAAAAAATTTTAAAAATTTTAGTTACCAAATAATGAAAGGGTTTTATTAAATCTTTAAATGTCTGATACTTCCAAACAAAAGGGCAATTTTTTTATGGGAAAGGGAGAGGTTTACTAAATTTAAAAGCACCCTTTCGCTTTTACTTATTGTGTTACAAAAATTTTTAGTGATGATCTCCACTAAATTAGCAGACTAAATCAACCAAAAAGCTTGGGGTTTTTTTTAAAGGGAATTTCTTTAACTCAAAAAATATCCAGAGGGCATCTGCCAATTTTAAAAAGAACAGCATTCACAAGGGGGGCACAACTTTAAATTACAGACTAAAAATAATAGAAGGTGTATGCATTCAGGGCACATCAAAATACAAACTGTAATACTGCACACTTCATTCAGTGCTCACTTCAAAAGAATTACAAATCACCTGTTTATACAACAGGTTCAAGTTTGCATTATGGTAAGTACGGTATGAGGCATAAAGGTGGAATGATGCAATGATGTTATGAGTGGTAACAAATTGTCAAAATATTGTAAAAAGAAAAATCTTTTTACTTTCATTACCTTTGAAACCAATCATAAAAAAATGATATACAGTACATTTAATCTTTGCTATTGTAAAATGCAACTGGGACACAGATATTTAAAGAAATTTTATTGCTAAAATCAATAGCATAAGTACTAAAAAATGTTGTGGCATACTGGAATACGATACTCTAATCCACAAAAACACACTTGGTAGGAATGATACCATAGCACCTATCATAACATACAATCCTATATATACTATGAAGACAAGTGTAAAATACAAGGCTCATATTTTCATGTACAATAGGTTAATTTTCAAATGATTTACACAAATGCATATATGAACTATGCTTGCATTATGACTTTTATGAGCATTATAAATGCCTTGATACTGTACATAAAGCAATCATCAAAATGCAAGCATTTTAACCAACACTAGTAAAAAAATAAGATACATAAATATGTAAAAATATAAAAAAATATTATTACATTCAAAAAGAAGTTTAAAACCTCTCCAAAGCTTTCACTCTACTAAAATATGACAAAGATACAGTAAAATAAAAATAATACAGTAATAGAACTTTTAACTTATTGTAATAGTGATCAAGTTGCTTTGGGTGTACACAACAGCACTAGAGAATATTTTTACCTGGCAACACTCGTGTTGCAGGATCACACTTATATTTGAAATTTTATAATCTTCCTTGTAGATTTAATTCACTAAATAATTTATTAAATTTTGTTTTTTTGGTGTTATGACTGAGTCTGAAATATATGGGTAATACTGTAATAAAACCTAAGTAATATTAAAATTTTTAATTACCTAAATGTATATAATTCTAGGTTATGATTTATTGCACAAAATTCTAAAATACTTCTCTTAATATTAGCCATAATTTATACATTTAAATTATTTACATATCATTTGCAGCAATGGTATCTAGACCTATCTGAGACCTGTATATCTTTGTCATACAGTGCACTTAATAAAATTAAGCTGATTTTCAAAAAAAAACTTTTGCTGAAAATTTTTTCTTGAATTCTCATTCCTGCAGTATTTGATAAACACAACTTAATTTTATAATGCTTCTTTAGAAAATGGAATGTATGTATTTCTGTACACTTATCAAATGAAACATGCGTAGTATTCACAAATGGAAGAATTAACAAATCATAAAACACATCCTAAAACTGCCATGGTTGAACTGAGTGCCAACATCAATGACATCAAAATGAGCAATGGAAAATATCAGAGGAAAGCTAAAAATTGTAAAAAAAAAAAGAAAAATTTATACAAGAAATAAGAGCTAACGTTAATACGCAAGCAAACAGACACACAATCTCACACACTAAAAATAATTGCATTTTTTGCAATGTCTGTGATTTACTTCAAACCTATCTATCCTAAATTCCATAATATACAACCTCTTAACAAATCTTTGAAAATATGAATTTTAAATTAGTAAGCATTTGCATCTAAAAAGAAAGAAATGAAGATGATCTCTGATGTTAATCACACTTTAAGTACATTTGCAATGAATTAAATTCATTAAGACATAAGAATGAATAATTATTTTTAACAATCATTCATTCTTGAGATTTTCTACTGTATATTCAATTCTCCAATAGACTGATGACAACCTTCAAACTGCAGCTTTGCTGTCTTAAGAATATTATGCACAGCTCCAAGAGCAAGTGAGGGACTTGATGGAAGTACTCAAGGTATCATTAAGTTAATAATTTTGTTCCAGCATTATGTTTCAATTCAAAAATTATTTCATTAAGGATTTTTTCAGGCAAAGAGTAAATGAATGGGTCTAGCTTGTCATACAGAACTTAGTCACGTCTTCCTTTGATTACATATGCTGTACAGTATACAAAACATAAATAATAAAACTATTAATCACGTTCCATATCTGTATATCATATCTACGTTAGACACACTATTTTTGCCACCAATAAATAAATATTTCATTTGAAACTACTATTTCTGTAGAGCTACTACAGTACCTAAATTTTTTTACCCCCAAAAAAATGCAATAAAGAAATTTGCAAATCCTTAGAGTAATCCTCCTATTTCTCAAAAGCAGTTATCAAAACAGGAATAAATGTTGTCACAAGCTGTATGATAATTTTTAAATTAAAATAACCTTATAAATCATGATTATTATTCAGCATGCAAATTTAACCTATTTGCCCAAATATGAATATGTAAAGGTATTTGAATTTAAAAATAAGCATGTCTGAAGTACAACCTAAGTCAACTGCACACTACTGGTTATTGGAATGGTGCAAATTCATTTAAAATCTAACAAAAGTTGTGACATGACTCATATAATCTAACATAATTAAATTACACATTAACTCTGCAAATATAGTTGACACAGTTCTTTGCTCTTGGTATTTGTTTTGCTGGTTTCCTCTCACCTGATTACTGTACAGTTTCAACATGGACTAATACTGTGAAGGTGAACTTTGTTTGGCTGCCACAACAGACTAACCCTGTACAATCCAATATCTGGCAATCTAACATTAAAAACTTGCATCCTCACAATATCAATTTATTCCCAAGGTAATGATACCAATTCTTATTTTTTCTCCGTTATGTATATTAAACAAAATGATCCCTTTGTGCCACAAGCTATACAGGTGAGCCAAAATTATCTTCCTAATTATACTTTGCTCTGAGTGATCATGCACATCATTCCATCTCTGTACATCATTTTGAATGTGCTGGTATGACTTTTTTTGAAACTTACAGATGTTATGAACAATAAAAGCATTATATTTCAGATGACCACGAATTGATGGTATATAACATACCATATATGATTTATTAATTCACAGACTGCATACACTGGAAGCAGTCAAGACTACACTTGGATCTTCGCAGCAGGCTCATTCAAAAGTAATGGGCAAGTGAATTTCTTGTTTGCTACCAGCTTGTCCAATCCCTCACCAGCATATGACACAAGGGAAGAGATTTCTACCACAACTGGACACTCATCCCACCGCATCTCCTTTTGACTGTGGAAATAAAAATACAAATATATAGTATACCACAAATAGTGAACTGTATTGTAATTACAAAAAAAAAAAATACTGTACAATACTGTATGGGTGTCCTATCACATAGATATTTGGGAAAAAAAAAAATGACATCTTTCATACCAATTTCAACTTTCACTGGGTTTAAATTGTCATTGAAATAGCTTTATTTATTTAGATAATACAGATATTGTATTGCTAAAAACATGAGTGTACAGAAAAATAAATGTAGGAGAATTATGTTTGAAGTACTCCAGAGTACAAACATTAGAAAATAAGATACAATAGACAAGAAAAAGGTCCTAATACAAACGTTGATTAACGGGATATCAATTTATTATGGACAAATGAAATAAAGTTATTAGAAAGAATATTAGGAGGCAAAAGTCTCAAAGTTTTAAACCATTCCAAAAAATAAACATCATACACAAGGTAGTCTATGATTAATTGACATGATATACAGAATTTCAATAATAGTGAGGTGAAAAATACATAGGCAATGTGATATTATTATTATTACTATCATTATTATTATTATTATTATTATTATTTATTTATTTATTTTATTACTAATTTATTATTTTTTATTTTATTATTTATTTTACTATTATTTATTTTATGATTATAACTCATTAATTATTTACCAATATGAGCTGTAATAATTAAAAACAAAACATAAAATTTATACATTAGTTAAGTGATATTGATATTCTGTTACTCGAATGTATATATAATTTAAAAAGCTTGACAGCAATTTGCCAAGCACTACATTTATATCAGGGTCAGGTGTAGTGGTGTAAATAACAAAGAAAAGGCACAATACCATGACTGGAACAATACACAAATAACCCACACATAGAAGAGAGGAGCTTACGACGACGTTTCGGTCCGACTTGGACCGAAACAATGCTCTGTTCTGTCACGTCAGAGATCACAGCCATCCTATTGATTGGTCTTCTGCTAAAACTGTCTTCCCTACTTCCAACTTAAACAGTCGCCATCTAGTTGAATCCTCTCTAATACACAACTTTCCTTGTATGAATCTTAGTCCTGGCTTTGTCTCTGTATTATTATTATTATAATCAAAAAGAAGCGCTAAGCCACAAGGGCTAAACAGCGCTGCAGGGTAGGGAAGGAAGCGAGGGTATTGGATGGCAGAAGGGAGGAGGGATGATCAGTAGGTTACAGAAAACAGCGGGGCAGGGGATAGTACGGGGGTAGAGGGTAGCAAGAGATTGAAGTAGAAAGGGCTGAAGGTATCAGAATTTGTGAAGTCAGTTGTTGTCAAAAAGTCAATGAGAGAGTCTGGATGAAAGGTGGGTCCATCAGCGAGAAGGGAAGGTGAAGAGAGAGCAGCAGAGCGAAGACGACGACGGAGGTAAATTCTGCATGCTCAATGATAAAGTGGGCAGTCCAACAGAATGTGGCTGACTGATAATGCAACTTGGCAATTCTCACAGAGAGGAGCAGGGCGCCTCTCCATGAGATATCCATGAGTAAGACGAGTATGGCCAATGCGAAGACGGGAGAGAGTAGTCTCCCAACCTCGACACTGGTGATAAGACGGCCAGTAACCTATACTCGGTTTAATAGATTGAAGTTTGTTGCCGAGCATAGTAGACCAACGTTGTTGCCAATGGGTGTGAAGTTGGGAAGATATTGCAGCAAAATAGTCCGTAAATGGAATACCTCTACATGAAACTGGTAGGTCATGTACTGCTGACAGCGCAGCAGTGTCTGCCTGTTCATTGCCCTGTACGTCAACATGACCAGGGACCCAACAAAAAACAATACCTTTATGCTTGGTAAAGATGCGGCGTAGCCAAAGTTGGATACGAAGGACTAAGGGGTGAGGTGTATCAAATTTCTGTATAGTCTGTAAAGCACTAAGGGAGTCTGAGACAACCACAGGCATAGATGCAATACGGATAAGTGCTGTAAGGATGGCATACAATTCAGCAGTAAAAATACTAGCCAAAGATAGTAAATGCCCTTGTACGACGCTGTCCGGAAACACTGCTGCGAATCCTACGCCGTCAGAAGACTTAGAGCCATCTGTGTACACAGCAATGGCATGAGAATGAGAGTGAAAGTGGTCAAGAAAAAGAGAGCGGGAAGCGACCGTAGACAGTTGGGCTTTCGAGCAAGGGAGAGAGAAAGAACAGACTCGAACAGCTGGAACTTCCCAGGGGGGTAGGGAAAAGTGAGATGCTACATGTACATAGAAAGGTGGTAATTGAAGAGAAGACAAGAGCGAATGAAGGTGAAGAGAGAAGGGACGGAGTAAACAGGGGCGGCGAACAAATAAAGAATGTCTACTAATGTCAGTGACCATTCTATAAATGGAAGGATTGCGGAGATCATGAGAGCGTACATAGTAGCGAAGGCAATGGGCATCACGGCGATCGGATAAGGATGGAACGTTCGCTTCTGCATAGAGGCTCTCGACAGGGGAAGAGCGAAAAGCACCAAGGCATAAACGTAATCCTTGGTGATGAATGGGGTTAAGGCTAGAGAGAGTAGCAGGAGATGCCGCTGAATAGATCTGGTCACCATAATCAAGTTTCGATAAAATAAGGGTGGAATGTAGGCGAAGGAGGGTTCGACAATCAGCTCCCCATGAAAGATGAGCAAGGGTTTTAACAAGGTTCAGCCGGCTGTGACAAGTTGCCTTCAGAGAGGTAATGTGAGGTTTCCAGGATAACCTACGATCAAAGAGGAGCCCAGAAACTTGACTGTATCACGTTCAGGGATACGGGAGCCATAGAGGTACAAAGGATGATCGGAGATGACAGAGCATCTAGTGAAAGTAATTTGGTGGGTTTTAGTGCTGGAAAATTTAAACCCACGTGTGGTGGCCCAATTGGAAACACGGTCGACTGCATGCTGGAGAGAAACTGTAATAAGGTGACAGTCAGCGCCTGCACAAGCAATAGCGAAGTCATCAACATAGAGTGATGACCAAATATTTGATGGAAGACTAGAGGCCAAATCATTAATAGCAAGGAGAAAAAGTGTTGTGCTCAGAACACATCCCTGGGGGACACCTTCAGCTTGGATAAAGTCCGGGGAGAGCACATTATTAACCCGAACACGGAAATGCCTGTCAGTTAAAAAGTTCTTAAGGAAGGATGGTAGATTGCCTCGAAGGCCTAAGGAGTGGGCTTGGGCTAAAATATTATACCTCCAAGTTGTGTCATATGCCTTCTCAAGGTCAAAAAATATGGCAATAACTGAGTGGTTATTCGCAAAGGCATTACGAACATACGTATCCAAGCATAGTAAGGGGTCTATGGTAGAACGTCCCTTACGAAAGCCATATTGACGAGTGGAGAGATTGTTGTGTGTCTCTAAATACCACACTAAACATCTATTTACTAAGCGTTCCATCACTTTGCAAACTGCACTGGTAAGAGCAATGGGGCGATAGTGGGAGGTTTCATGTCCCGTAGTGCCTGGTTTGCGGAAAGGGAGAACAATGGCGGATTTCCACAGCTGTGGAAGAACTCCTTGTGAACAAATAAGATTGTAAAGGCGTAATAGGACTGCAAGGGCTGACTGATGTAAATGTTGTAGCATACGAATATGAATGTCGTCGGGCCCAGCTGCCGATGATCGGCAAGCTGAGAGTGTTGCCTCCAGTTCTTGAAGTGTAAAAGGCGCATTATACTGTTCTCTGAGAGAAGAAAAGTCCAAGGGTGCTAACTCTCTGGCAGACTTTGAGGAAAGAAATGAGGGGCATAGATGGAGTCCCTGAGAAATACAGACCAGATGATTGCCAATTTCATTGGCAACATCTAGTGGGTTTGCTATATCAACACCGGCAACCCGCAGAACAGGAGCCGGGTCAGGAGAATATTTACCACTCAGTTTTCGTACTTTTTTCCAGACTGCACTCATAGAGGAAGCAGAGGTGATGGTGGAGACATAATCTCGCCAGCAAGTGCGTTTAGCGTCACGGATGACACGGCGAGCGATCGCACGCTTCTGCTTAAAATCAAGAAGTCTCTCTGTGGTTCTATTGTACTGGTACCTGCCCCATGCAGCGCGTTTCAAACGTATTGCACGAGCACAAGCAGGAGACCACCAAGGCACGCATTTCTGAGAATGCCTGCCCGAAGTTTGGGATATAGAATGAGAAGCTGCGGTTAAAACGGAGGACGAGAAGAGGTGTAAAAGCTCATCGATGGAGGACGAAGAAGGAACCTCTCTAAAAACAGTTAGGAGTGAGTAAATGTTCCAATTTGCCTGATTAAATTGCCAGCGTGGGATGCGAAGAGGTGGTGAATATGAAGGGGAAGTAAGAATGATTAGGAAATGATCGCTGTCATGTAAGTCCGGAAGAACAGACCAAGTGAAGTCTAATGCGGCAGAGGAAGAGCAGACTGAGAGATCGATGCGAGAGAGAGTGTGAGTCCGAGGATCAAAAAAGGGTGTGAGTACCTGTATTTAAAACATGGAGGGGGTGGGTGGCAAGAAAAGCCTCTAACTGAACGCCACGGGAATCACAGTGAGACCCCCCCCCCCAGAGGAAATGGTGGGCATTAAAATCACCAAGTAACAGAATCGGTGGTGGTAATGACGAAACAAGAAAGGCAATATCCGGAATAGATAATGCCCGAGAAGGAGAGAGATATAAAGAACAGAGCATATACCACCTATGCAAGTGGATACGGGCTGCTGTGTAATGCAGCAAAGTACGAACAAATAGCTGATGGTACAGAATATCAGTGCGTAGAAGAAGGGCACTTTCATTAAAGGTCCCATCAGGAAAAGGATCTGAAGAATACAATAAATTATAGCCTGAGATGGGAGAGATAACAGCAGAGTGTAATTTTGGTTCCTGTAAGCAAACACCAACAGGGGAAAACTGGAAGAGTAACATCTGAAGCTCACCCCGATTACCCCTGGGGCCCCGCGTATATTCCACTGTAAATGGGCCCATGTTTTGGCAATGATAAAGATACCTGAAATCCGCA